TTTGTTTTTCTGGTGGAGCCCGCGCCCCTAAAGAAAAAAAAAAAAAAAAAATCTCTCAAAAAAAGAGAGAGAAAATACCTGCCTCATGGAGCTGCTGTGAGGATGGCATGTATCATTATTTGTTAAGTGCCTAACACACTGCATGGTCCATAATAAATATTTGTTATTTAAATGTCTGCTGTCACCACTAGACTGTACACTGCTTGAGGGTCATGGTTTTCTTAGTTTCTGCACAACTCCCATAATGAAATACATTCAATATAATTACTGTTCACTGGGGACAGCCCAGCAGTTGGTGGCTCCATGCATTATGTCATGTAGTGTCCCTACAGCCCAGACAGTGGGTATTACATCCATTTCAACGGAGGAAAGTCCAGCCTCTCCTGAGACATGACTCCTCAACAGCTCCTCAGACGGGCCTCTGCACTTGCCTATCCATGACCACCGAAGTTTCTGGTTTTTTCTTAAGGACTCTGTCTCCTACCAGCGTCCACCCACTGACTCAGTTCTGCTTCTCAGTACTGTCTCGGGGTCTCTTTGCCATGACAGATTTCCACATGTCATAATAACATATACACTTGCATTTTACTTAGCAAGTATAACGGGTTGCTTACTGTGTGAAGGCACCATCCTAATTAGTTTGCATGTATTGGCTCGTTTAATCCTCATAAAGTGGGTATTATCATTATCCCTCTTTTACACATGAGGAGGGGAACTGGCTTGCCCAAGATCTCACTGTCAGCAGTAGTTGAGGGGGCGGGGAGTTGTCTGGGGGTCCGAGAGTCGGGGTCAAGAACGGCCTGCCTTCTTCCCACTGCCTTTGCCTTGGTCTATTACAGTCACAGCAATGTCGTCAAGCTCACAAACCTTTGACAGAAAGCGATCATTAACTTCCTCTACACATGACAAAGCAAAAGTCTTAGAACATAAGTGCCTTGCTGGAGGTCCACGTGGCCACTGACCAACTGCTCTTTCTGTCCCCTTCCATTGCTGGTTTTCAACGTCTGCTCTACTGTCCCCTATCTTAATTTTTCAGGCCCTTAGTTTTTTCTTAGCGCAAAAGAGGGGAGGGTCCCTCTTTCACCTGCAGGAGGAAAGCTGCAGAACATGACAAGAAAAGAGGGCACAAGCAGGACAATCTGACCTGCTGACCTCATCCTCTGACCTCTTCAGAAGGTGGGACTGAAGCAGAGATCCCCAGAAACTTGAAACACAGGTGTATGGCATTTGCATCCTGGAAACCTACTCCTTCACTAACTCTCAGGGGTCTCTCCTCTTGGCTAGCCCAAGCTGGGGCCTAGGAATATAGAAGTAGATAAAAACCTACCTCATAAGTCATCGGTAGGATTCACATGGTAACACTTACAAAGCACCCAACAATCACGTCGGGGGTTAAAATAAAGGCGCATCCCTAGCCCCCTGTATAGCAGCCCATGTGGCTTCCACAGCTGTCTCTGGTGTTCCTAACCTGGCCTCCTTGTGCCTGGGTCTGTGCATCCGTGCATGGGACATGTTCCTGGAGAAAAGTAGAACTCTCCTCAAAGAGCAGCTGGAAACATTCACGTACACTACACCCTTTACTCAGAAAGGAAAGAGGAACTCTTTACTCGTATCAGCTCCTTCCCTCGCTGTTCTCCAGAATTCCATTGAACTTGGTGCCTTACCAGGTACACAACAAAAAGACAGTAACTCACCCACTGGCCAGATTGCCAATTGCCCAGTATTGGTCCACTTCCTGGTGACATTTTTGATAAATCTTTCTACAGTTTGCCTCATCCGACTGGTCGCCACAGTCATTGTCCCCATTGCAAAGAAGCCTGCGGTTCACACATCTCCCTGGGATGGAGAAAGGGTATCACCCATAGTCACATGGCTGTCAAGAGAGAGATTGCTGTAGTATAAGAACCTACTAGGAACTAGACATTTTGCTGAATCTTTAATGCTCTATTTTAATTGCTCATCAAGTATCAGGGCAGGCTGTAAAGTGCTGTAATGTTACTAATAGTTTATTCCCTTTTTGCCCCCATCCCATCTGGTCACTTCTTTTTCTGTTCTGGTTTTTTTTCTTTTTTTAGAGACAGATTTTTGCTATAGGGCACATACACTTGCTGAAGAGACAGAGAGACAGAGAGATAGAAAGCAAGGAATCACTGCCCAGGGGGGACGGCCACACCATCATCCCTTCCCCTTTCTCATTTCAGAATTTCGAGCATGCAAGAACATGTGCCAATCATGAGTTTCAAACTACTGGGTCTGGGACTAGAACTTCAGCCAACTACGTGGGAGTCCAGCGATGAAACTATTTCACCATCTGCTCGTTCCTCATCTGGCCACTTCTACTCAACATTCTTGGGGAGTTAAAGGCAGAGAACTAAAAATGTGCTCTTCAAGTGTTTCTTACAGGGCATTTAAACCACAGCCTGCCTGAATAACCATTATGTCTTTGGTCAGAATCATGGAACGCTGGCCATAATGAGTGTATGGGTACATTGTAAAAAGGTCTCTCAGATTTATTCAATGCAATTCTGTGTTTGCAATAGCCCTGGAAATTGCTCTAAGAATCCCTCACTCTTCTTTGAAAGATCCCAAAGAACAACCCTCTTGGGTACAGTGAATGTGGAGAGTAGCAATTCCCACTGAGATCATTTGAGTCAAAATATCCTTATTTTTGCCAGATACATGGAAAATTACAGAGGCATATGTTTGCTTAAATGAACTAAATGAATGAGTTGGAAAAACAAGTGTTTACTTAGTTTTACAGCAGATAATTATTTATTTGTGTACTCTTCCTTCCTTCTGTCTTTTTTTCTTGCCCTCTTCTTACAATAAAAATTTTTATTGACTATTATACGTTAATGGTCATCTTGGATTTAGTGATGAAAAAATCCAATTGACAGAGATTCTCTCTCCAAAGAGTTTTCATAGATAAATAAATGATGCTAACTACCTATTAATCGGTTTCGGGTTTTGCTGCATTCAACTCAAGCCCAGACCTTTGCAAAAGCTAGGTGTCTGCAAAGAGCTTTCATACCCATTTTGTCACTTGCAGCTTAAAACTAGCTCGCAAGGTCTCGATGTCATACTTGATTTTCTGTTGAGGGAATCAAAATGCAGAAAAGTTAAGTGACTTATAGGTCACAGAGTCAAAATAAGGTCTAACCCATGATATTTTTTACTCTAGTACTCCTCAAACTTTTGTGTCTTTAATGGCAATGAGTGTAATTTGAATTCCCAAGTTTGTTTCTTTCGAGAGAGTTTTATTTATTTATTTTTTCCAGAGAGAAAGAAAGTGAGACATTACCCCTCAGGAGGAATGGCCATGCTGTAATCCCTTCTCCTCCATTCTCCTCTTGGGATTTTGGGTATGCATACTCACACGCCCAGAGTGAGTTTTAAGCCACTGGATCCGGGACTTAAACCGCAGCCGACTACGTGGGAGTCCAGCAATATAACCATTATGCCATCTGCTGATCTTGAATTCCCAAGTTTCTATTCACAGCTCTTCCACTTACCTGCTTTATGTTTCTAGGCAAGTGACTTTTTCAAGTCTCAATGTTTTAACTTGGAAAATGGAAATAATAACAACACCTACTTTATAGGGTTGACCATGAAATAGTAATAATATATATGAAAAGACATTAGAGCACGGGGAGGACTTCTGAGCTGTCCCATGTCCGTGTGAGCACTAGGCATGGCCTGACCACCAGGGGCCATCGCCTCCTGTGCAAACGTTCCCTTCCCACTCCTACGTCCATTTGTACCTGTCTGTGCACACACGAAGCCTTCGCATCGCACTTGGGTTCTGCATGGTCTGCTGGTAACACAGTCTTCAACTTCCTTGTCAGAGAAGCTGCACGGTTCTCCATGGAACTGAGAGGGTCGGAGCAAGTAGGCGTGTCTGTACTATAGCAAAGAAGAGCAAGGTGAACCAATGGCAGAGCCTCAGGGGGCCCTGGAGCTGAGGAGCACTGTGTCAGTAGGTCTCCAGCCAGGACCGCGCTCTGTGAGAGCAGTGAGCTGTGACTGCCGCTGAGTACGCTGGGCATTTGCGTGCCCAGGATCTGAGGCTGGCTGAGGCTGGTAAACTGTAGTGTCAGGGTACTGTGGGGGGTACTGTCTGTCTATCTCTCTGGTTTATGGAAAAAAAATACAGAAAAAATGTGATAAATGTGGCAAAGGCATGGGCTTTGGGGTCAAAAGTTGGTAAGTAGACTCATATAGGCAGTTCATAACAAAAACAAACTCTCTTAACTTAATTACTCTTAATGGGTTGATTCAAGTGTTTTCATTTATGCCCAGGGTAACAGTATAATAAATTTTAAAAGCATGTGCTTTGGAGCTACAATTCATTCTGACACTTTTTAATTATGTATGTGATGCTGGGCTAATTAACATTTGCGACTCAATTTACTCATCTGTTAAATGGGTATAAGGAATTACCTTACACAGTACAGTTACAGAGTTTAAATTACATATGTGTGTGTGTGTGTGTGTGTGTGTGTGTGTGTGTACAAAATCTTGTTCTGGTGTCTGGCACATAGCAGGCACTCAATTTCTTGTACTTATTTTTAAATTTAAAATTTTATTTTTAGAGAGATTTTTGCTATAGGGCATGTGCGCTCGCTGGAGAGACAAGGAGACAGAAAGTGAGAAATCACCTCCCAGGGAGAATGGCCATGCCACAATCCCTTCTCCTCCATTTTCCTCTCAAGACTTGGGCATACACACACATGCACCCAGCATGTTTTAAGCCCCACTGGGTCTGAGACTCAAACCACGACAGACTTCATGGGAGTCTAGTGATGTAACCATTATGCCCTACTTTTAATTATTAATATTAATAATTTTAAGCTGTCAATGTTGCTCTATCTCTGTTCTGTTTGTTTATTCCAAGAACATGGATTGAGCCACCCAATGTTGAAAAGGTAGGTGTTATTTTCGCTTGCTTCACTGTGTGTTTTTTCACCAGAGTCATGTCCTCCGGCGTGCCCTCCAGGAGGCTGCGGATGGTGGTAGTGAAGGATGTGGCAGTGGCACTCAGGCAGCGAGCGCCCAGGCAGGGCAAGTACAGAATGCTCTGAAAGCTCATGGGGGATCTCAGAAGGAAGCTTAGGAGGTGGTGGAAGGCTTCTGGAACAAGGAACATCTAGAGTGAAACTTGAAGGCTGTGTAGGAATGTCAGCAAACATGGAGAGCTGTCATGAGGGGGATAGAGAAAGCCAATGTGGAGGACATGGCTGGGCCAGGGCCAAGATGCCAAGAGGATTTACCTTATTCCAGAAAACAAAGACAGCCATCATCGCTAGAGAGAAGAGTGCAAGAGGGAGAGTGGCAGGAGCTGGAGGGACATGCAGACAGGAAGGGAGCACAGGGCTTGCCAGGCCCCCTATGGTGCACTTAGTATGGAATTCTGGGACAAAGGGAAACCGAGTCAGAGGAAGAAAGTGACTGGATTCGGGCAGTTTTGAAATGTTAGTTGCAGTCAAGATTTTAGTGCTCAAAATGCAGGTAAACCAGGTTGCAGCCTCTTTGCAGAATGACATATTAATGAAGTATAGTTATTACTTGGCGTCTGTATGTGTGGCTTTGGAAATCTGAAAAAGAGATACAGATAATTGTTCCTCCATGCTCTTTTGTAGTTCCAGAGGGTCATTCTTCTTGGAAGGCAGAACCTGTTGGGACAGGATAAATCCTGCAAAGACTGCAAAAGATGAGGCCTAGACACAAAGAGGATTTGAAGAATGTGGGGAAAGTGGAGGAAATACCTCTCCCACAGTCCAGCTGAGAGGTTTTGATGAACTCCCAGCCAGCGACCCCACCGGCAGGGGTGATGTCCTGCTGAGGAAAGTCTGCAGCCTACTGGGAGTGAGGAGCTCTGGCTGGCTGCCTGCCTCATGCCGTTTTCCTGGTTTATGGTGCAGATGAAGCAATTATCCAGATAATTGGATCAATGTTGATAACTTCAGCAATAAAACCTACTTTGGGAACTGAATGATCCTGCTTGGCTCTCCCCATTGATCCAATTAACTGCGTAATTGTCGCGGGCCTACTTCCACGGCCTCTTTAGAGTCCTAGCCCATGGCTGGTTTGATTTCCAAAGGAGCTGTGGAAATAGCAACCATTCTCTAACTCTGACACAGCCACTGTTGTCAGAGCTGGGATCCTGGAGCAGCCTTCCCCTGACACGGGAGGCTGAAGGACCAATACTGCAGAGATGTGCTTTCCTTGGTGGAACACCAGACAAGGAGCCAGAGGCCTGAGGTCAAGGTGTGGATTTGCGACAAGGTGAAGCCAGGAAGTCGCTTGCCTGCTCCGCGAGTCTCCGTTTACCTACCTAACAACCATCCTCCCTTCCTCAAAAAGACATCAGAAAATTAAAATGGGGGCCAGATAGTAGAATAGCAGTAAAACACAATAGTTGAGGTTGATCCACAGGGGAAGGTGGCTGGTTCACATCCGGAGACCTCCCTGAGTACACTGGGCACACATGGGCCCATGATCCAGGGCTGAGTGAGGCTGGAGGTAGACTGCAGCATCAAGACCCTGTTAGGGTTGCTGAATCTCTTTTTCTCCCTCTCTCTGCCTCTCTTGCTCATGGAATCTATACACTTGGGTGGGGGGAGAAAGAAAGCAAAAGAAAAGGGATTGGCACCCAAATATTCATGAAACAACAATTATGTGCCAGAAATTGCCCTACACACTGAAGACACAGAATTCAATAAACCTTCCCACATCCATTGTTTAGTCAAGGGAAATAATAAGCAGCAGGGTGTGATACATGCTAGGATGCAGGGGTAATAGGGAGCTGCTAAAGCTCATGAAAGGTTGCCTTACCTAATGAGAGGTAGGGCCAAAGGGAGTTAAGTAAATCTTCTCAAAAGAAGTGGGTGGCTCTTGAGCAAAGTTGCAAAGGTGTTAGTGAGTAGGTGGTAGCCAGTGAAGGAATGGGAAAGATCACTCCAGCCTCATAAAGCACACAATAAAGGCATAGGGGAAAGTGAGGTCAGAGAACAAGTTGAGTGTACTGCTGGAGTGGAATGTTTTATGGAGAGGTGGACCAGGTCTTGGTAATGGGAGGCCTTGAATATCATGAGTTCTGGACTAGTCCCAAAGGGCATGCTAAACTTTGCAGAGCTTCAGGTTGGGGAAAGACAGGTCAGACTTACATCTGTGTGATGGTCTCCTGGTCCCAGCATTGAAAGAACAAGGTTGGAGGGAGAGAGTCTAACAAGGAAGCTATTGGAGTAAGAAGGACCTATGTGCTAGGAAAACATGAAAGGGCCAAAAAAAGGATCTGATTACTACCTGGAAGTACAGAGAAAAAGGCTTCATGAATTGAATCAGCCAACAGTTATCAAGGGCCTATATGTGCCAGGCACTGCTGACAATACCTCGGTTAATATCACTGAGGATCAGGACTCCTGGAGGCTTAGTGCTTTCTCAAGGCCTCTGTACTTACCCTTTTCTTCTGACAGGGATCACAGGTGGTCCAGGAGGACCAGCTGGACAGTTCACAGTCAATAGGCATTGGGGTAACATCCACGCTCCGCTTCTGCCTGCTCTGAATGAGGCTGTTGTTGACTGCATTTGATCCAAAGGAAAGTGGCCTTTCCCCTCTAAAAAGTCGCCATGAGAGAAGAGAGTCAAGTACCAGAAAGGAATTAAGTATACATCCAACCACTAATCCATCCAATCAGTAAATATATATTTACTCATTTGTGCAAAGCTATTAGTTTATCATTCCACAACATATATTTATTGAACCCCCTGTAAGTGCCTGACATTATGGCTCGCTGTGGTCGAAATGTATTGAACTTGTATTAGAAGACAGTCCATTAGCAACTGGGTGATCTTGGTCTGGTGTTTCAATCTCCGTGAGTTTCACTTTTCCCATCTACACAATGGAGAGAACCATACTTACCTCAAAAGGTGATTTCTAGGGTTAAGGACAGTAGTATATGAGAAAACACCTTACAAATTCTAAAGTGCTATAGAGATGCAGGAACTGGTAGGTGTGTGATCTTAAGCAATTCACTCCCCATTGCTGGGCCTCTATTTTGTCCTCTGGAAAATAAGAGGTTTAGATTAGATGGTCTTTAAGGTATCTCTTCATGTTAAGAGTCTATGAAATGTTTCTTGAAAATAAATAATATTCAGAGTATTGTGCTACAGGAAATACAGAGATGTATAAGATACAGGCTCTGTTTTCTGGAACTCACAGTTTGTCTTAGAGTAGGAACAGAGAAACACAGCTTATACCTTAGCACTTTAGGACTCCCTCAAGAAGTCTTGTTGGGGAAGATGTGAGTTTCAGTTGGGGTATGCTGAGTGCTGGGTGCTTGTGAAATACCTATGTAGACTTACTCGGTAAATAGGTCCTGTATGGGTTTGGAACTCTGGAAGAAAGATGTGTGCTAGAGATACAGATTTATCGTAAAAAGCTATGGAAGAGGATAAGACTGTTCTTGAGAAGAGAAGCAGGCCAACAATAATCTCTTGGGAAACATCAGCACCACCAGCAGATCAGGACAGACCACACCATGCCAGCCCAGGGCACGGAAGTCTAGAGGCATGAGTGCGAGTAGGGGTAAGGCTTGGGAGTGGTAGAAGGGCAGATGGCAGACAGTGTCACACCAGCAGAATTGTCAAGCAGCATGAGACCAAAAATGTCTAGAAGAAGAAAAAAATGTCTAGAAGATAAGGCAGTATTTTTTGTTCAGCTCCTGGCACACGGTGGGACATGAGTGAATGAATGAATGTGTTATTTAATTTGCCAGGACCTCCAGTTTCCCTATCTATAATATGATGGGTGCATTATGATTTTGATTTTTTTCTTCCATCTGAAAAATGGTACTGCATTTTATGAGTCTTTGTCATTTGTGTTCAAGATGAGAGAAAGAAAAAGAGGAAAAAAGAAAGAAAGAAAGAAAGAAAGAAAGAAAGAAAGAAAGAAAGAAAGAAAGAAAGAAAGAAAGGAGAGAAAAAGAAAGAAAGGAGAGCGAAAGAGACAGAAAGAAAAGAAAGACAAGAGGGAAAAAGGAGGGGAGACTTTCTGAGCACCCACGATCCCATGATGTACATGGCTAGCACAGAGCTAGGTGCTCTTCCATGCTATCGCTCTGTTTTTCCACGGCAATGCTGAAAGATAGCTATGGAGTGTCACTACCTGGACAGACAACGGAAAGAGCTCAGAGAGACAGTTACACATCCACTGTCATCAACACGTATTCAGTGGCATTGGGATCTGAGCTAGTCACCGTGTGTTTGACACTCAGCTTGTGCTTGGTCATTGCCTCATGCTGCCTGGAAGGGATCTCAGCCAGTGTCAACCCCACCAATCCCCTCCAGTCTCTATGTAAGGCCTCCTCCCTGTATCCAGGATTGAGTCATTAGGGAGAACATCACACAGTTTTCACCATTTCAAACACACAGCCTGTCACTCCAAACAAGGTCATTAACAATACATTCTCACTTGGCAAAAGTCCTAAAAAGAGGATAATATTAACTACAGTGAAATCCATCTCCATGACTGCCCCAGAGACCAGCAAAAATCAATTGCCTAGTAAAGTTGGATCTTTAAGGAAAGGTCAAAGACTCTACTGGAAACCACAGGTGGATACTTTAAAATGGTTACTGGAGGCAGGATGCTGCACACCAGCAGGGGACTTTGGAATGCACTCCTATCTACTAATTTACCCAGGTTTGACAAAACAATACTACCCATGATTGGCTTCTCCTAAGTGTGTATCTGACAGCTCTGCAGGGTACCTTCTTCTTATTTCAACTACAAAACAGTTACATTGTGTTTTTAGCAACAATCAACCCAACTCTGGAAGTAGTTGAGACTGAGTAGATAAGTAATGTACACACTAGCTATTAAGAGTCACAATTATTTTCCTCTCCGAGATTTGAAAGCCTGTTAATGGGCAAGATGATCACTTACAGAAGGAACTTAGTAAAAAGTAGTTATAACCACCAGATCGCTCATTTTTGCAGCCAATTTTCATTATAGAGGTGGCAGTGTAATGAAGTCATCAGCTGAATAAATAGCACGTTTGTAAATTACACAGGATAAGACGTGTATGGTTTATTAGTACTACAAAATGCAAATCTAAAAAAAAAAAAGGGCGAGTATTAAATGGCATCTTTAATTCCTGAGAATAGCATGGAGTGCAAAAAGGACAGATTCAATCAGGGTCTCTGCATATAGTTACAGTACATGCCTTTTACCACTATGGATTCTATAAAAGCAAACTGGGCTGATGTTTTCACCAACTGACTTGACTTCTGGCATTTGAAATACCCTGTATGTTTTTCACTTGGAAAAATTAAACATGCCTAGAGAAGTACAAAAACTAAAATAGTAAATACCTATGAGCTTGCCCTCAGATGGACAATTTTTAACATTTTGGCATATGTGTTTCAACTTTTTTTTTTTTTTCGGAGAGGGGGTTTTTTTTTTTTTTTTTTTAATATAGGGCACATGCACTTGTCAGACAGAGACAGACAGACAGAAAGCGAGAAATCACTCCCTGGGGGGATGGCCACGCCGCAATCCCTTCTCCTTCATTCTCCTCTTGGGATCTTGGGCATGCACACACATGCGCCTGGCATGAGTTTTAAGCCACCTGGTCCGGGACTCGAACTACAGTCGACTACATGGGAGTCCTGTGATATAGCCATTACTCTAACTGCTGGTCCCCAAATCTATTTTTCATTTTAAAAATCCTGTACATTTGGCATCTGTATTTTGTCCTAATCCCACTTCCATATCCATTCTCTCCTCTTGAGAGAGAACTATTGTCATAAATTTGGTGTGTGTCCTTCCAAACTCTTTAAATATATATATATATATTTCTTGACACATATATATAGTACTGTTTTTGTGTGCTTTACTTACACTGTACGTATTATTCAGTAACTTGCTTTTATCCGTCAATATTTCATTTCCGAGGCCTGTGCATAAAGAGATCTATTAGGTTGTTGGAAAAGTCATGACATATTTTGTCTGTTTTTCTATGCAAAAATGCTTCATGACTTTTCTGACAGCCCAATAGTTCATTTCTTTTATCTGGATGTTCTGTCATGGGATACATATTGCACTTAATTTACTCTCTTTTTTTCAGGGACATTTATGTTTTCTCAATGCTTTTGTAATTGGAAGAATAATGCTAGCATAAACTTGCTTGTGCAAGTCCTTGAACTCATGCTCCCTCTACATCAGTGCTGGCGAGGATGTTCCTTTCCTTGGGGTGCATGCAATGCTATTGCCAGCATTCCGACATATTTCACTGGATCCAGGTCTCCCATTCTCTTTCTAGCAGGCATCTCTGATCAAAATAAAGATGGATCCAGCAGGTACAGCAGGATTAGGTCAGCAGTAAATTGTGAGCCATCAGCTTATATAGATGGGGTGCATCAATAGATTTTGGCTTTCTGCAGAAATGCCCTGACACAACAACTTTCTTGTCACACACGATTTGTTAGGCTGTTGCCTCTCCCCTCCCCCTTGCAAATAGCTTCCTTTCTCTTTACTAGAAGAGGCAGCTTCTGGGTGGCAGCTTTTCTATTTCTCTTCTCTCTGTCATTTGCTGTTGTAGACACAAAATTTAAAGCAACATCTCAAGGCAACAGATGTGTGGCCCAGAGATAGAGAAACAGCATGGGAATCCAGCAAGTCAGATACACGATGCAAGTGGGGAGGGGACATTGCATTAGTGAGAGGCAAAACAATGCAGAGAGAATATGCAGGGGCTCTGGGACCTACCCCCTGAAATGGAATTGAATCCATATTTTGCTATCTAGTTAGGTAGTAGCATATCTTGGGATAGTTACATTATTTCTAGGACCCTCAGTGTAGTTTTTCTCTCTGCAAACAACCCTTATCTCAAACGGCTGTGAGGATCAGCACTCATGAGTGTAAATGCCTGGCACAGAGTGCCAATCAATAGATGACAGGTCTATGACAATGTGATCATGACTTCATTTGACTTGATTACAAGACTACATAAAAATGAAAAAGATTTCTTAGCCAATATGAGGGAAATGTCAGCATTTTCTGTTCCAGTACTAAAGACTACCCTTCTATGTCATGTTGGAAATTCAAATACAGACCGCGTTCAGGATTGCCCATGGAATCATGAGTAGAACATCAAACCTGGATTCAGATACGGGTTTGAGACTCAAGAAACACCAAGTGATTCGCTTCTCCTCTTGAGGAACAGTGTGAGAAGAAGAGACAACACCTATCTCATGGCATTGCCATGGGGAATACATAGAGTTTCTGGCCTGTACTTGCATCTTCACTCTTACCTTGGCGTGAACTTCCTAGTACAAAAATCTAATTGTGTCAATCCTTTAACATCATTCAATCCTTTGATTTAAACTTCTCAGCTGGCAGTGTCCCCTAATTCTGCCATGATCTGACTCCTGCTTACTCCTCCTCTACCTCCTCATTGGTAATTCTCACCTTGGCCTGAGCTCAAGGCCTACCGAAGTACATTTCAGCTTCAGGAACAAGTCAGGCTCTCCCATGCCTGGGCCATGCTGGTCCTCATGTCTACACTGCCTTCATCTCCTTAGCCATTTTGGCAAACACCTACTGATAAGTAAGATTCAGCCCTGTCTATTCCAGAAGCCTTTCCAGAACCCAGGCCCAGCAGAGCTGTTCACTCCCCACCTTGTTTTCTGCAGGCCCCTGTACCATCTTAAACAACGTGCGTAGGATATGCTCATATGTTGGCATTCTCCATGAGAAAACGAGTCTCCGTGGCTTGGGCATCTATATATCCTCAGAACCCAGCAAGGAGCTTTTTGCAGAGCACAACAAAGTAAGTGAATCACAAGTATTCAGCACATTTCCTAGTGTGCTGAATACTTCTCTATGTACACATAGCACACACAAGGAAGGCCTTGGCAGCCCAGTTATTCTGTGGACCACGCTGAAGTACATAATAATCCTAATAGCTATGTTTTGGTGAGTGCCCAAAGTAGCAAACATCCACAGTCCTGGTCTCAAGGTGGTGTCTGAGGCGGGTGGTCAGTCAGCACGGCTGAGACCCAAGGATGAAGTCTGGGGTAATCCTCCTCACACTGAGATGTCGTGCACAGACAGCGATTTTGGACCGAGGAAACAGAACGGCATAAACAGTCCTTATTCCTACAGGAGTGCTCCCAAGGAGGCCTGGATGCCTGGGTGCTTCCACATGCTCATGGGAGCAGCTCCTCCTACACTAGAAGGGTCTCCAAATTGCTACGTAGTTGATACTTCTTTCACTAGTGTCCAAGTTTAAGCTTCCACTAAGGTATTTTCTGTAGCTTGTTTTATGCCCTATTAATGGAAACTAACAATTATGAAATTAATCTATTAGCATTGAGCTGCTGGGACTATCTGGAGTGTATTACGTGTGTGAGTAGGAGAGAGAACATCCGAGAAAACGAAGATGTTGATTAGCAGGTAGTGGGGGTCATTCACATACATTGAAAGCATTCACGTGAATTGGCTCTTTTTTCCCTTCTTACGCATAAGAATCACACGAAGGCTTTGTTCGGAATACAGAATGAATCTCCTATTCCTTTCAGCATGACAAAATAACATTGAAACATGTCACTTTCGTAACAGAAACTTTTGTTAAAGTCAGCCACTTGGTTCCCGGATGATATAAAGAAAGTCGTTGATATTATTTTATCAGACACATGCAAATTGCCTCAAGAGATGTTTCTCACTCAATAGGCATGCAGCAAAGATGGTCAGCACTGGGGGCTGGCAAGTGGCATGGTGATTAAAGGCACGAACTCCGCATGGCTCACCGCAATTAGAATCCCAGACCTGGAGGCTCACTTTCCCTCTCTCTCTCTCTGATCACATTTTTAAAAAGCAACAACAACAACAATAATAAATAAAGTCAAAATAAAAATAACTTTTTCAAAAAGAATTATTTAAAAAGAGAGAGAGAGATGGTCAGCATTATGTGGCCTTACATTCCTTGTCATATTATTGATCAGGGACTCGTTTACAACCGTCACCTACCTGGAGCCAGGCAAACTGAAACAGCCCAGGGCTGCCGAGAGAAAGAACAGCTCTGCCGGTGTCCAAGTCCCTGTCCTGAGATTCATTTCCTCAATGTGAGAGGAGAGCTAGCTGCTGCTCCTGGGTCCACGAAGCGCCCACACAGTGAGTGTGACCGTCAGCGTCTGTCCCCATTGCACAAACAGCTCTGCAAAGTAAACAGAAAGCACCAATGCCAGGAAACTCCGTAGACTTTGCACAGACAGCAAACGCACCCATGACTCTCAAAGCCTCGAGAACGGTGGAAAAGTCTGCAGCAACTTGGATTTTATTCGTGTGCTACAGGCTCAGGGGTGGAACAATGGACAGAATAGCCTTTTGGTGAGGCAGTAGGGACTGAGGGCTCTAGGTCCAGAGCATCTGGGTTCAAATTCTTTCTCTCCCACTTACTAGCTTTGGGACTACAGACAAGTATCTTACTTCAGTGCCTCTGTTTCTTCACCTGCAAGATGCTGAGGATTCAATAATAGTAGGAAAGGGCTTACAACAGACGCATACGAGTACTCAGGCATGTGAATTACTACTGCTAAGTAGATTGCAGGGTTTGGTGTCAGGCAGGCTCAGGTCTGAATTCCAGTTTCATCTCTTTCTTGCTAGGTGACTTCAAGCAAGTTAGCAAGAGGCTGTAGTGCCCTTGAGTCTACCTACCTGAATTTGAATTCTCCTTGTTTGATTCACCAGCTGTGTGACTCAGGCCGAATGACTAACCTTTGCTAGGCCTCAATTTTCTCATCTATAAAACAGGAGGGAACCAGCAGTTAGCGTAATGGCTATGTTGCTGGACTCCCACGTAGTCGACCGCGGTTCGTGTCCCGGACCTGGTGGCTTAAAAAACTCATGCTGGGCGCGTGTGCATGCGTGCCCAAGATCCCGAGAGGAGAATGGAGGAGAAGGGATTGCGGCGTGACCATCACCCCTGGGGGGTGATTTCTCGCTTTCTGTCTCTATGTCTCTCTCTGTCTGTCTGGCGAGCGCACGCGCCCTACAGTGAAAAAATCTCTCAAAAAAAACAAAACAAACAAACAAAAAAAACAGGATACCCACTTCATAGGGCTGTTGCGAAAATTAAATAAATCTAAATATTCAAAACTCATTGCCTGGCACATATTATGTGCTTTCTCTATACAGCTATAATGGATATTTTAATTGACCATCTTTGTTTAAGTGACCATTCTGTTATCTCATATGCAAAATTGGGAGGGCTATGTCTACTTATCAGTCAGAGTTGGGAGAGTTAAATGAGATACGAAATGTTAAAAGGTTGCACCAATAGGTATTATGAAAGTAAATATAGGAGAGCAATTACCTAAATATATATGTTGTTGACATTATTATACAATGTGTGTAGAAGTTCATTATATTTAGGGGAAGTCAATACTTCCCTGACTTGACTGGGAAATGAAGTGTGTTGGATGAACCCACATGGTGGACGTTGGTCCTGTTACTGTTGCAGGCACAGGTAAGGCACCTCAGAGGCAGAGGTGGAAGGCATTGTCCAGGTGGGCTAGTAGAATGAACACACACAAGGTTTGGTTTCTTGAAAGACGTTGTATTATTTCTCTAAGACTCTGTTTCTCATCGGTGAACTGGGGATAAGAGATTATTAATGCCCACTTCATAAGGTTCTGTTGAAATTCAAATGTACAGAACAGGGAGCCCTTAGCCTGTTTCCGGACACAAGTTGGAATCTCTTTAAGTGCCAGGCCTATGGCACAGTCTGCCATAGCAGCATGTCTGCCATAGCAGCTGGGCTGGAGGCTGGAATTGCAAATACAGAAGAATAGTAAGGGGCTGGATAGAAAGTCATAGACATTAGTTCCCTCATATTTATTGTGCCCAAAACACAGAACACAAGCTCTGCTGTCAAGCCATCTTCTGTGCATTCCAATTCTCAGCCCAAGGACAAGGCACCATTTCACCATTGTCCCAAAGGATGCAGTTGACCTAAACTTTGACACCATTGACTGTGGTAGTTAATCATTTGTAAACAAGCAGAAAGTGGTGTTTCAAGAAAGATCTATGTCCACTCTGCCTGCATTTATGTCTGCATTATGTCTGCCTGCATTTAAGAGAACTCAAATTCTCACAAGGAGCCCCTTGTAGCTCCTCAACCTGATATATTCGAAAAGGTATCTGTCATTCTTACACAGGGCAGTTATGTGACTGAACAGCATTCTGATCCACTTCCAGATTTTTGTGTAAGCTGTTTCCTCTGCCCACAGTATGTGCCACTTGGCTAAATACAACTCCCTGTTTGGATTATATTTTACAATTATTTGCTCAAGAAAGCCTTCCTAATGGACTCCGATGGAGTTCTTTGGTTCTGGGCGCCAGTAAGTCTCTTGGAACTTCAACCTCATGGTGCCCCCTGGTGGTTTCAGGTGCTGCTCACCTGAGATCATGCCAGGAGGATGGCAGCCTAAGGTTGCAGGGATAATAACACGCATCTTTTTTAATGGACATGTCTTAGCAGTTTAAGAGTTTTTTCCATAATTTATCTTGTTTGCTATTGACAGGGAATCAACAAAGTATCATCTTCCAAGCCTCTGAGATGGGGCTCCACAGTTGTTTTCCCCCTGCTCAGTAGCAAATCCATGGCAGATCCAGTCTTTATTTCTGACTCCCACCTCTGTTTCTTCAAATTCTGATGCCTTACCTTGCCCATTGAAAGTGCCAGAACTGATGATTTAGGTCTAGCACAGTGATCACATCTCGCCACTCTCCTGGTCCAGCTGCTCTTACTAAGTACCACAGCTCTCTTTGACCCAGGAAAGGGTTTTTGTTTTTTCGTTTGTTTGGTTGGTTGGTTGGCTGGTTTTTGTCATAGGGCGTGTGCACTGATTGGAGAGAGACAGAAGGCAACAGAGAGAGGGAAAGTGAGAAATCACTCCCCACACACCAAGGGTAACCACAGTACAATCCCTTCTCCTCCATTCTCCCTTTGGAAGAATAGCCACATGCACATGTGCCCAGAATGATTTTCAAGCTGCTAGGTCCAGGACCTAAACCATAATTGGCCTTGTGGAAGTCCAACACCTTAACCACCATGCCACCTGCTGGCCTCTAGGAGAAGGCTTTTTGTTAATCATATGTCCTAGCCCTTTTAACCACATGTAGGCATTTGTAATTTCAGGTCTACAGATTCACTAGCAGTTTGCTGTTTTTCTAGCCTTTGGGAACTGATTTTCCAGCCTCCACCCAGTTCTTGCTGATGTCCCCATGTTTTAGGTGTTCGCTCCTGGCACCTATTTTTGTATTAGTTAGCTTTTGCTACGCAACCGATAATCCCAAAATGTGGTAGCTAAGACAATAATTGTTTAACAGCTCACAATTCTGTGGGTCATCAAGCAGGTCTCAGCTAAACTGGCTGTTCTGCTGGTCTGACCTGAGTGCAGCCACTGGGAGGTCGGCAGGAGCCTGGTGAATCCGGCATGACTTCATTCACCTCTTGATGACACCCTCTACAGTAGGTGCAGGCTGTTGGCTGAAGTGACGAAGTGACTGGCCATATGCTGCTTCTCTTTTTAAAAAATATTATTTATCTATTTTTGATTATTATTCATACATTAAATCGCTATATATCATTTAGGTGTGAAGAGACTTTAACCAGCATCATATATGTCAGCATCCGCCCCAGGGCTTGGGTCTGGCTGAATCATGATCAGAGGGCTGCTGGTGAGGAAGAGAAAGAGGACAAGAAAGAGAAAGCCCTCCATCTTGCCAGGACCTGGGAATTGGAAAGAACGAGACAAAGAGATAGAGTAGAAATGGACACAGGAAGTCTGAGCCTAGGTAGCCCAAGCAACTTGTCCCTCCCAGATGAACTGGACATCTTTATTTATAGTACAAGGAGACATTACACATGTATGTTTCATGACACTTCATTGATTGGTTGCCAGGTTAGACAATAAGAAGCAGTTAATAAATCTATATGGGATTAGTCACACCTGGGGCCAGGTGTATCCCTTGGTGGTAATCCCATCTAGAGAAAATCTCATCTTCTTTTCTAATGCAGAGAACTAGCTGTTAGGTGTGGGGAAGAAGCTAAAGAACTTCTCCATAAGGAGTGTACCACCACACCCAAAGAAGTCTAAAGAACCTTTAAGATGCAGAGCAGGGATTGGATTTTACTGATTGGGGTCAAGATGTTTCTTGAAGTCCATCAGATGTGTCTGTTGGAATGCCCCTAGCAATTTCCACCCTTGCTCTGTCTGCAGCCAAGGTCAGGGAAAGACAAGTTACAAGGTTCTGCCAAACCCCAAAAGAGCATGTGGTGTTTGCTCAGCGCATGTCCTCACACCTCAGACTCTCTCTCTTAAGCGTGTCCCCACACATATACACCTCAGTCCAGCCCAGTCGAGACCGCCATACACATCCTCATCAACAGATAATAGACCTTATCTGTGTTCTACAAGTGTCTTACCTCTCCATTTTCGCCCCATATGCTTCTAAACAGACTGAGGCTTGATCTCATGGTTCCAAAGAGTAGCAAGAAAGGATAAGCCCCAGTGCACAAATGCCTTCCAAGCCTTTGACGGAAAGTGTTTGCCTTATGTTTTTAACATGCCATTGGCTGAAGCAATGGCCGAAGCAATATTCAAGAGATGGAGAAATAGCTTAACCTATTGATGAGAGCAACAGGAAAATCATGTAGCAAAGGGGTATGTATAGAAGGTGGAAGGAATCTGTGGATCATTTGCAAATTGCTGCAGACAGGTGACACTTTCATGCTAAAGGAGTTAAGAGCCAGTACATTCTCCATGTCTGTTCTGCATTCATGATTTGGAAACATGTAGAGACAGTAGTGTTTTACAGTGGAGGGAGCATGTACTCTGAATCACTGGATGAAGGTGAGCCCCTAAGGACTTCATATAAATGAAAATTAAATTTCTGTTGTATTATGTCATTGAAACTCTATGGTTTACATGTTACTACAGCAACCACTACCCTACCCTGACCAATAACCTGTTGCATACAAAACTGCACACGTGTGGGTGCACATGCATGCATTTTTCTAGGAGAAAGGCCATAGCTTTTCTCAGATCTTAAAATAATCTGAGATTGGGAACCAGCAGTTAGCGTAATGGCTATGTTGCTGGACTCCCATGTAGTCGACCACGGTTTGTGT